AGTCACGCAGCGTTTGAAAAACTGGACGTTCCTTCCTTAAAGTATACCACATGATCTTACTGTGAAGTTTATCTTGTCTAACGATGGCATATCGCTTCAGCTATATCATGAAAATACCATTCTTACCGAATGAGTTGAATACAAAACATACACATTGAAAATCTTCAATCTTCCTGTCTACAGGCGTGAAGACCGTCAATATATAAAGCTGGGGGCCTGTCAGGCCTTACCGAAAAGTGCCTTGTAGCCAGCTGGCTGTAATAAAAGAAGCATAGCGGTGCTTTTGCAAGCCAATGATCATCCTACCTATGATGAGTCTCTGCTGTCTTGGTCCTACGTTTTTTAACGATTCCATGCTTGTCGCTTATGTCGGCGAACATCCCCTCAAACCAAGTCATAAGTACGAAAGAAAGCCGGCAGGGTTTAAAGGCGTGTGTCCTTTCGAAGCCGTAGGCGAGCTGAAAGACGCATATTGCGATGATTATATAGCAACAAAAAAGTATCGTTTGATGGTATCTTACCATGTAATAACTTCGACGGATCTCTATGTGTGCCTTTCGCAATAATCTTCAAAAACGGTTTCAAGCTGCGCCTGTTGCGCTAACAGTTCCAGGCTTGCGCTAGATGAGAAGCACACCCCTGCGCTGTAGCTAAAAGGAATACCTGTAACCATAACTTCTTCTGAGTGAATTATTGAACTTTCGCAAAACATACCCTTCCAGCTGCACAGATGAGCGTTCTAAGTCCAAGACGATTGGAGTGGAAGTGGTACTGATATGTAACTGAGAATTCATTACTGAAATGCTGTTTCTTTGCGAAGATTGGATATAGCAGCGGCATCGACATCGTCGTTGCGCACTATATGGATGGTGGTATGCAGCTGTCCCGTTCCTTTCGAGGGAGGCTAGAAGTGTAACCTATTAACCGCCTTTGGAAAAAATTGTTAGATTGCTGACCTGAAAAAGCTGAGTATAGACAAGAGACTAGCAGGTTTCAGCTGCTTAGAGTTCACCTTCGAAACTGACCTCCAAGCCGTCGTTGAAGCTCGTCCCTGGGATTATACACAGAGCTGCTAGATGTTTACCAATTCTTCAAGATCATGTAGCCGTAAACTCGCAGATGCGATTATGTGTACCTTTGCGTTCTTGTCGGTATCGCCAAGTATCCTCCATCAGCAACTAAATAGGAAAAACTTTAGTTCAAAAAAGTGTGGAGAACCGTTGCAACAACCATTGCAAAAAAGTCAGAATATAGCGCATGAATACTCGCTAGCCATAGGGTAGGTGGACCACTGAGGACAGTTGATCTATCAATGGAGCTCCATTTAAACTGTTGTGACCATGTTAGAACCAGTAGTCTGGGTGCCTAATTGAGGTGTTCGTTCCTCTACCCTAACAAAAACGTTGCAAAAAAATATTACATCGAAAACCCGCACGACTTCATCTTTGCATAGGCTTCAACCTTGATTCACGCTGGTAGTGACTCCTACTGGGCATTTCTTCGAAGTTGCAGTCGTATTGCGGCGTATGCCTTCAAGCCAGCCGGATAAAGTGATAATAAGATACAGTCAACTCATAATCATACAGGGTTGCCCAAAAGTCTTGAAGCCTCATTTTTCCGACTCAAATTTGGAGAAGCAACATAGACGACAATTTGGTATACAGCTTATTCATAAAAGTCGAAACAACAAGTGGTGCTTACCCAGGCCTATTCGCTATACTGAATCTGAAAAACCACACTGGAGAGCGCTAAGACGTACGCCGAAAAAGGGCTCTAACTGCAGGAGGGAAAGCAGGTGCGCAGGGTTTTCCCCCCAGTGTGGATTCACGCTCCCAGTTCCGCGGCGATCTTCTTGGCTACATTTTAGGTCATGCATTCACGCT